TTCGAGATTTTATAATAAGTGAAGGTTTCATATAGATAGTGATTGAACAGAATAACATTAGATATTTGTCATATGCAGTTAATGCTTTGATATCTATTTCAAAAAACAGGTTACAATGGAAATTTCGTCACATGAATCGTGTTTAAAATAGAATGAAAAACCTCATTTCTAAAATCTATCGCCGTTGCATTACACATAATAGACAATATTGTTTGCACAAATATTGTCACACTAGTTGCCGAGATGTACGTAGTTGGTGGTGGTTTAAGCGGAAATAAAATCTACAAGTTCCGTTCTCATGGATTTCAATTTAAACAAGTGTGCATTGCGCTGAGGGAAAAACGAGCTAGCGGCAGCAATGAGTAAGATGACTTGAAGCGCAAGCTACAGCTACTCTATTCAGCCGATTTTCAGCCATTTTAAAAGTAGTGGATAATACCAGAGAACATCGTATGTAGGACGTGAATAGATCCATTGAGTATCATACTGAAACCTATGTACGAAATCACGCCAGGGCAAGTAATAATTCCCACAAGGTACGAATAGGGGAAGAAGTTAAAGCCGCAGATTAATGTATCCGTGATATAGTAATGTATGTATGCGTGAACACCTGTATAAGTGTGAACCAATAAAACATTTGATTTACATGCGATTGTCAGATTTTGTTGGGAGTGGGCGTGGGTGTCGATGTCGGCGTAGTTGAAGACAATAATCCTGCCCACATCCTGAGTCAAAAGCGATACGGACAACCATACTTACACCCCCACCCATATACGATTAAGTTTTTTTAAAATAGTCGTTTTTATTTTCGAATGAAATGAGAAACAACTGTTTCACATAATGAATAGACTTGAAAAAAAACTAAATTGAATGTGGTATCTTATTCTTTTTTTCTTTCTATTGTATATACCAAAAAGATTCTAAATTTACGCTTGGAATTAAAATTAAATAGCCCTTTTTATTCTCCTGTAGTGTTTCGTATGAAATTTATTTATAATCCAATTAGTAAAGAATTTAATTCTAGTTACAGAAAATAAATCCAAAAATCCCCCCCCCCCGTTTTTTTAGTAAGGCTATAAAACGCACTTATACATTTAATCTTATCTATTTTGAAAATAAATGAATATGCTAAAGATATCTGGTATTTAAGAAGGACTTCAGTTTCATGAAGAAAAATGACAAACATTAAAATAGCCATATTATTTTCAAGTATTCTCGAACGAGCATTTTTATGTCTCGAAACCCAATATTTATTGTCATAAATCCTCACTCGATAGATTCACTAAAACTTCATAAATCTTAAAGTAATGACGTTCATTTGAACACACTCTAGTCAAAGGATGTATTTTAGTGCCTTCTGAAGGCTCTTGTGGTAGTGAATATGTTGAAACGCATCAAAATATCTTTTATGGATACACGGAAAAATTCTGTTTCGTAATTTGAATAGTCCAATGTTGCTAATATCGCAGAAGTTGTGTACATACAATGGTAGTCCATGATGGGCATAATACTGGTCTCATAAGAATTAAGTATATGAGTTGAAATACGTTTTATCACATACACATCTATATAATTTTCGACTGCTACAACTCAGACATATTTTTATTCAAAAGCAAAAGATATTTACATAGGAAAAAAAATTATGACATAAAGGTAGATAAATATGTATGTGCGTACCTTTGCAAGTAAGAGAAAAAAACAACTCATTTATTTCAACAATACATCAAAATCGAGATATGTCTCTTCTTACTTTACCAACCGAGATTGTCTATCGTATTCTGGACCATCTCAATATTTATTCGACATTGATTTCACTTCGTCGTGTCTGTAAACGATTGCATACAATTACTGATACTTATGATCGATATGAACTTGATCTGTCTTCAATTCCAGAATCAAAAATCAAATTGATTGCGAGCATTATTCGACCTGAAAACATCATCAGCCTGATTTTAACTCAAAACACATCTAGAAAAACTATTTTCGATCTATTTTTCTTACATTTCAAGATTCATGAATTTCCGCAACTTCGTTCTTTGACGTTAAGTGGAATCACTGCTAACGATTTTAATCGTATTTTACAAGCTTTGGCTACTTGCCGGCTTAGTTCACTATCAATACATATATGTGAAAAATGGAATCATGAAATAGGAAGTTTTGCTAAATCCCTAGTTACTCGTTTCGATCTTCGCAAGTTAATTTTGAAATATTCTGAAGATCTAATTGGGAACATATCATGGCCATACAATTGTAATTTAAACTATCTCTCATTGGAAAAATGCACATATTCACAATATCAATTGATTCTTGGTAATTTACCATATTTAAAGACTTTGATAATTCGAGATTGCATTATTCGAGATCATAATGAAATGATCGTCACATTTTATTCACATCTATCTTCTCTAACAATTAATGACTGCCATCTGTCCATAAATGATATTGAATTTTTGCTAGCACAAACTCCTTCACTGGTATATCTCAAGTTAGGATCCCGTCGAGAAGTATTTGACTCGATCTTCGATGGTTCGTCATGGGAAAAGTTCATTATAGCTAACATTTCATCTTTGAAAAAATTTGAATTCTTATTTTCCTATACGCTAAAAAACAATAATGCAATGCCTAATATTAATTCACATATTGACTCATTCCGAACACCATTCTGGCTAAATGAAAAGCGTTGGTTTGTTATCTGTGATTATAATATGCAACAAAAGATAATCAATCTTTATACTACACCTATATGTATAACCAAAACTGATTATTTATCTCAATCACTTGTCTATTCTTTCTCCCATTTCGTGACAATTCGATGGGCAGTCTTACCTATGAACACCAGTCATTTACCAATATTGAGTTGGACAGACGGACTATTTGATATCAATGACATAGAGGTATTTATAGAATCTTTTAGGGCTAATATTCTTGTAATTGCATAATCTTGTTATAAAAAAAAGCATCTGTTGCATTAAAAATTATTCTTTTTGTCTTATTTTCTCACACAGATACACAACAAAATAAAACTTCGATCAATTCCTATCGATGACAATAGAACAAAATACCTTAGTGATGCAATGCAAACAAATACAGTATCTAATAGTCTTATTTCATTGATAATAATCTAAATTATTCTTTCTTGTCTAGATAATCACTCAACTTGATCTTCGCCACAATCACGTTGGAGTTTTAGGAGCCGAATATTTAGCTGTTGGATTAAGATACAATAAGACACTTCAACAGTTGAATCTTGCTCTAAATCAACTTGGGGATGAAGGTGCACAACAAATAGCTAATTTACTACAAAATTCAATAGTTCTCTGAATTCTTTTTGCGTTTTTCATAAATAATTGCTTCTTTATCTCCATAGACACTTACACATTTGTATCTCCAACGAAATACTATAAAAGAGATAGGTGCACAACAAATAGCAGTTGCACTAAAAACTAATACAGTGATTATTAAAAGCAATTACCATTATTTTGACTATCAATGCTCATGTATAGACACTTATCGAACTAAATATTGGTGGCAATCCTATCGGATATAAAGGCGCTGAATATATTGCAGATGCATTAAAAACTAACAAAGTGAGTTGTAGTTTATTTTTCTATATATAATGTAAAGCTAGTTTTTTATCTACCTGCACAGAGCCTTATCAAAATGAGCATGAGTGGAAATCATATAGGTGACCTTGGGGTAGAATGGATAACAAATGCATTACAAGTTAATACAGTAAGTTTTCATGCATCACTCGTCATCATGCGATTTAATATAATTAGACATTGACTACACTTCATTTACAATTAAATGACATTGGAGATACTGGAGCAAAATACTTATCTCATTTACTGACTAATAATAAAGTGAAACTAAAACAAAAACAATACATGTTCAGCATTTATTTCATTTTGTCCTTTTTTTTTAAGACACTCGGATGTCTTTCCTTAGCCCAGAATTTGATTGGAAACAACGGTGCCGAACTTCTTGCTGCTGCTTTAGAAACTAATAAGGTGACATGAGATTCTTTTAGGATAATTGGCATTTTTTTTAGAATTCGATCATATAGACGTTAGCTAAACGAGATCTTCAGCAAAATCAAACAAGTGATCAAGATGCGAAAAGTTTATTGGATACTTTACAAAATAACCAGGTACTTTCGTTCTTCGACTCTATCAATCATATAATACTGATTGCAATAGACATTAATCAAATTGAATCTTACTGGTAATCCATGTAGCCAAGCAAATACATTTGATGTCGTCAGGTTAATCAAGAATGACAAAGTACATTGAACTTTTTCTGATTATTACTGTTCATTGTTTTGTGAAACACGACCTAGAATGAGTGTTGAAGTGTTTAGGGGTAGAAATTTGGACCTCTCCCCCCCCNCCCCCCCCCCCCCCCCCCCCCCCCCCACAGACCATGACAGACAAGCTTCAGAACCATCACAGACAGTGACAGACAGCGTTAAGGAGGATCAGAGAAGTGATAGACGGGCTCCAGAGGCGTCGCTGAACATCACCGATCTTTGGTACAGGATTAGTAAATATGCCTCACTAATTTCTGAGGCGAGTGTACTAGTGGACCTTTATTGCAGCTCTAGTAGTTGAATGAGAGACATACATCATAATACAGACCGTGGCACAGAAGGTCCACAGATCATCAGTGACCGTGATAGACGAACTCCAGAAAAGAAATTTCATCGTGTTTCACATTCTAATCCCACAGGGATTGCGCTAACAGCTTTTTCATTTAGATGATCACGTCCATCGAACTTCAATCACGTCGAATCGGAGAAAAAGGTGTCGAATATCTTGCTGATGCTTTAATCAATAATGATGCATGTTTTTAGATTTGTTTTGATCTTCTCTTATATGAATTTTCTCAATGTCATTTAGAGAATTACTTCAGTGAATCTTAATCGCAACGAAATCAACGATCAAGGCTTAAAATATCTTGTGAATGTTTTGAAAAACGATGAAGTATCTATATATATTCTATTTTGTCTTTGATGACAATACAGTGTTATGATTATATTACATAGAAAATCTTGTTGTTGCATCTTGATGATAATCAAATTACTGATCAAGGTGCAGAATATATTGCAGATATGCTACGAATGAACAAGGTGACGATAGTTTATTCTCTATCTCAAATATTTTCCTAATCTAATCATTTGTAGACACTTAAAACACTAAGTCTTCGTTCAAATCAAATTGGAAATCAAGGAGCCCAATCTATTGCTAATGCATTAGCACAGAATAGAGTAATTCTTATTCTATTGATGTATAATTCACACACAATTATTTCATTCATATGTAGATATTAATGGAACTGAATCTTTCTAAGAACAAAATAGGAAATGACGGTGTTGCTCCGTTCATTAAAGTATTACAAAAGCATAGGGTTTGATATCTTTCTGGAGAATTTCCTTGACATATCTACCTTTATACAGTCTCTCGCAAAAATCGATTTCTACGGCAACCCGATTGATAAATACATGGCAAAAGCAATCAGGATTGTGATGTTACGAACAAGCGTAAAGTTTTCAACAGTGTTTCAAACAAATTTTTGATCGATTTTAAACATTTTTATCGATAGTCTATATCCTATGTGATTCTTAATTCAAAATGTGTTGGCACGAGAAAAGTTCAGCATTTAGCCGATGCACTTGTCTCAATAAAGGTTACTCTCTTTCTATGATGACTGCTATGATATCAATTAGATTTATCGACAGACACTCAAAATAGTTGAGCTTAAAAACAATCAATTAGGTGATGATGGTGTACGCTGCATTATTCAAGCATTAGCCAATAGCCAGGTAAAACAATTTTAATTTCAAATCTTTATGTCGTTATTGTCATTTTTCTTTTGTTTAGATGCTAACTGTACTCAATCTTCAAACAAATCTTATTACTTCTGCTGGTATACTGGATTTAGTTGCTATGTTACATACTTTACCGGTAAATATATTTGTGTCGTTAGTATGTATATATACAGAAATGCAAATGCTCTCTATTTTTGACATAGAAAATCAGTAAATTGGATCTTTCTTGCAATAAAATTGGTGATGAAGGTGCAAAACATATTGCAAATTTGCTTGAAACCAATACTGTAAGCAAGCTATTTTCCTTTCTTTCTTTTGAAGATTTATCTGATTGACTCTCACATAGACATTAAATGTGATCAATCTTCATCGAAATGAAATCGGAAGCGATGGTGCACAGTATCTTAGTGATGTTTTAATACATAATCAGGTATTATCTATTTGTTTATATTATTCTGAATTCATTTTTTTAATCATTATTAGACGCTGAAAAAACTCGGTATGAGTTTCAATAAATCTAATGATTGTTGTATCTTAGAATTTCTTGTTGCAATACGATCGAACGTAAAGATTTTTTATTTTTTATTTTTATACTATTACACTTTTGTTTTCGATAGAGTGCAATAGTCGTAACACTTGATAATAAACAGATTGAAGAAAAATTTACACAACAACTTGCAAATGCCTTGAAAAATAATACAGTATTTTTCGTATTCTTTTTGTTACCAATGCACGTAGAGTTATAATAACATCATTTAGTCTGTAAGAACACTCAATCTTAATAGTAATAAAATGAATGATCAATGTCTGGGATATCTTGTTGATACTTTGAAAAATCATAAGGTTTTTTTCGACCTTTTTTATCGTTGTGATATCACTACTCACTATTCCACATAGGGAATCACATCGCTGAACCTTGACAATAATCAAATTACTGATGAAGGTGCACAATATCTCTGTGAAATAATGAAAAATAATAGTGTAAGAAACTTTTCTTGTGTTTATTTAGTATTCTGATTAATATTTTCTTTTCTTGATAGAAACTTAAAATACTAAGCTTTCGTTCAAATAAAATCGGGAATGAAGGAAGTCGAATGATTGTTAATGCACTGATAAATAATACAGTATTTATTATTTAATCATAAGTTTCGTTTCAAATTCATGTCATATGATTGATTACAGACTCTCGAAAAGTTATATCCCACTCAGCATCAATATGGAGTTGCTGAAACTATTTGTGCCATTCGAAATGGCGATGTAACAAACCGTTTCTCTTTATTTCTCTCTAATTCATAATAATTACTTTCTTATAGGTCCCTAATCGGATACACCTTGAGTACAAACGTATTGAAGATATAGATTTACAATATCTCTGTCATAGTTTGAGATATAACATGGTAAATATTGAGTTCAGTCAAATTAATATTCATTTTTTTTTACTCAAGAGGATTACTACGATCAATCTTAATAATAACAAAATCGGCGATATTGGAGCACAACATATAACTGATATACTTCGAAACAATACGGTTACTCTCTTTACATGTTTCAAATTAGTGTATGAATTTAGATTTCTTTTTATTTCAGAACATCACTGAACTTTTACTTCACTCAAACAGTATTAGTGATGAAGGTGCAAAATATTTGGCTAGTGCATTAAAAGATAATAAAGTGTGTGCTTTATTGCTTTGTATTACAATCTCTATTATTTTTTAAAAACTAGACTTTAATGAAGTTAAATTTATATCGCAACAAAATTGGAATCAATGGAGCTAAATCATTTGCTGAAGCACTATCAAAGAATACGGTAGTTTTCGGTTCAGTTTTTTGTAAGCTATTCTTTTCTTTTTCTGTAGACAATATTGGAAATTGATCTAAGAAGAAATGAAAGTGGTTATGCTGCTATTGTAGGAGCTATTATCGAATTAAGAAACAACAAAGTATAAGAATAAACTTCGATTTTACTCTCTTACTCAATGGCGCTATTTTGTTGCAGACACTGACTTACCTACATCTAGATGATTGTAATATCAATTCTCAAGATATACAGCTTCTAGCCACAGCTCTAAAAGATAATCAGGTGATTTATATTGATTATTAGTATCGTTAATACGTATCTATGATTGTTATTGTTCGCAGACATTGACTTCACTGGATCTTAGAAATAACACGATCGGTGACAACGGAGTACAAATTTTATGTGACGTACTTCGAAACAATAAAGTAAACATCAATCTTCCATTGATTTCCATCTTTTCACTTTAAAGTGTTCTCTAGACATTGACCACGCTCGGTCTGGCATATAATAAAATTGGAAGTGACGGCGCACACTATCTATACAATACATTTCAAAATAGAAATGTCGACACTGCTCTACAGTAATCACCTATTACATATGTTGCAAAATTGTATCGTCAGATATTCAGGACGTTGAGCCTTCATGGTAATGAAAGTGCCTTATGTGCAATGGTTGAAGTCTTTTTGACATCTTCACGGGATCAAGTATATAATGACTATTCAATGTCATTTGAATTACTATCAATTGTGTTTTTTTTATAGATACGCACGGAAATAAATCTTGCCGAAAAACGTATTGGAGATAAAGAAATGCAATTTCTAGTCGATGTTTTGAGAAACAACACGGTGCTAACAACATTCTAATCGTCTTTGAAATAATCTTGATAATTACTTTGTTTAGACAATCATCAATATAGATCTGACCAAGAACAACATTGGAGCGGATGGTGCAAAATATATAAGTGATTTATTGCAAAATGACAAAGTGATTCTCGTTGTTTGACTAACAATGGAAGGTTGTGAACTGTTAAGCAGTGAAATTGACCTTGTTCCGGGGAAATGTTCACTCTCATCGAGAAACTAACGTATTTAAAAGATGAGCTGCCCATGGCTAATAATTATCAGATATAAATGCCGATGAATAATTCTACATATTACTGAATTAAAGCGAAGCAAAAGAAGGTTATTGAGAAAGAAGGCTACGGATGAGCTGAAACGTGTGAGATATTATGGGGGACACCCCTCCTTCTAACAATAATAAAAAACGATAAGGCAATATCAACCATAAAACAGCATACTTGTCTGTGCTTTATTGCCTTTCTATTGTTATTTGCAATTAAAATATAAGTGGGTAAAACAAGAAAAAGAACTCAGCTAAATACAGCACAATAAGTTTATGAAAACATGTCCCTTTGGCCAGATGTACGAAAATGGGATGAATCGGTGATTATTGAACAATTTAAACTTTTAAAAGATCAATTGACAAAAGAGTTGGCACTTGAGCTATGTGAAAAGGCTTATGGTTGTGGTTTTCTCTACGAATTGTATGATGCAAAACATCTTGATTACGAAGGTGCTTTTCAAGCTTATTTGACTCTGCTGCGAGCTATCGCAGCATTGGTTCCTGGTTCACAGTTTCAGAGTATATTTATAAAATCTTGTCCTGGGTGTGCTGTGTTGGAAATTTTATCTATTTTATGTATACATCCGATATTAGAAAATGATGTGAATGCTTTGCTTGAGGAATTGTTCTTGGATACGCATGGTGATATTTTAAATCGTAATGATATTCGTCAAATTGCCATAATGATACGGCAAGCATACAAAGGTTATCAAGGTACAGATATGGGTTGTTGTACAGCTTATGACTGGAAAAGTGAAGGATACAAAACAGCCAATACGATTGGAGTATTATTTTCATCTGATCAATTCTGCGAATTAATGAAAAGTAATTCTATCTTGGGCGCTCAAATAGCTCATGAAATGCTGAAAAATCCTGATGATAGTCGTTGGAAATTACATGAATTATTATCAAAATATAAGGAACTTATATCGGATAATAAATCCGATACATGAAAGCCACTATAATTCCCATATAAGGGCATTATAATAGTGTTAGTATTTCATAGAATGTGAAAGCAAAATAAATTTTCTTATTTAGAATAAACTTAATTACTCAGGATTAAGCAGAGTTCTTGATGTCCGTATATAAGCAACAATCAAATATAGACTACACAGTTTCAAGACCAATCAAGGCGTCTTGAAAATAACTCATTTGTTCCATACAATCCAAGCCAAAAGTCTTCTTCGTTCATTGAATGTGTATTTTGTATTTGAAGGCGATCAGCAAACATTCTCGATGTTGTTCTTCGAGATATGCTCAAACCAACAAAATTTGATTCTTCAAATAATTCTCTATTTCTAATCAAATGATGCATTTGTTCTCTCCGGACGACGTTCTGTGCGAATATGAAGAAGTAAAGATTGAGAAAAAAGCTGAAACTTACGGTCCTTTCTAATCGATTCTCATACATATTAAGCATAATGGGTTGCTACAAACAAAAGTCAAAACTATTATAAAAGATCAATACAAAAATAGCATTCATACATGATAATAACGCAATATATTCATCAAGCGTTGTGCTCCATGGTCTGTGATTTCATTTTGCCACAGTGAAAGTCGTTTGAGAGTCTGTACGTAAGTTATGAAATTCTACTTGAGAATAATGGCAGAAGGGTATTTTTTACTGTGTTTTTGTTTAATGCATTTGCTAGAAATTCTGCTCCTCTGTCAGTGATTCGATTTGACCGAAGATCCAATACTTGAAGTTTCTGTATAAAAACAAGTCATCATCATTAATTAGTAATAATTTAAATCACCGTTTGATTCTTTAACAAATCTGTCAAACATTTCGCTCCTTCATCTCCAATGTTATTGATACCAAGATCAAGTGTTTGCAGGCTCTATCGTAGAAATTTCAAAAGCAATATGAAAAATAAAGAAAATGAAGCACTAACCATCGTTTGTTTTAATGCATTTGCTAACAGCTGCACTCCTTCATTTCCAATTTCATTTGAACTAAGATCAAGTTTAATCAGTATCTATATTAAATTCTCAATATACAATTCGGATAAACAATAAAAGAAATACCATGTTACTGCAAAATGCTAGACAGAGATGCCCTATCCCTATAGGTCCAATATTATTACCACTAAGATCCAATATATTCAATATCTATATGTAAGCGAATTGAGTTCGGATATTCAACGGGAAAACGACAGACAAAGCTTACTGTGTTATTGTGTAATGCATTGGCTAGATATTTTGCTCCGTTGTCACCTACTTTATTATTTCCCATTAGGAGCGTTGTTAATGTCTATTTCAATTAACCATGAAACTAATTGGATCTAGACCTAATTCTTAGAAAAAATGCAGACGTACCGCATTGCGACGTAATATCTTAGCAAGAAGTTCTGCTCCATTCTCCGTAATTTCATTGGAACGAAGATCAAGAGTGACAATCGACTAGAGAAAAGTAAATAGACATCGAAAAAATATTTAAAGCAACTGACTCTTACACAATTTAGTTGTAGTGCCTGGCATAGAATCTCAGTTCCTTCATCACCAAGCCTATTGCATCGAAGATTAACCGTAGTCAGATTCTACGTCAAAGAGCATTAAAAAATGTAAAAAATTATTGATAAAATTTACTACTTTATTGTTTCGTATTCCAATAGCTATCCCAATTACTGCACAATCTCCTTGACCATTCCCCATTAAATCTACAGTGGTGAGGCTCTAAAAGGAACAAAATAATAAAAATTAATAAGAAAGAACTTGAGCACTACTTGATTGCATTGAAACATATTAGTCAAATGCCGTCGACTTGATGTCTTAATATTATTCCAAGAAAGATCCAAGACATTAAGCGTCTATATAGAGTATGAAGGGCAGATTTTGAAAATTTATCAAAAATTGCATTGTCACTTTGTTAGTATTCAAAGCATTCGCTAGATGTTCAAATCCCGCATCGCCGATAGTATTATCTCGAAGAATCAATGTCATAAGTACCTGTTGAAATATTCGAAAAGAAATCATACATAAAAAATAGTATGCCAACAAGACATACTGTATTTTCACGCAAAGCATCAGCAAGATATTGAGCTCCTAATGGTCCAATATTGTTTTCACATAGATCAAGTTTTTGTAATGTCTATGGTAAAGATAAATAGTAACGACGTTGTAAGCAGAGTTCTCGATGAGAATTACAGTATTATTTCGTAATCCATTGGCCAGGTGATTAGTACCTTCATCTCCAACTTTATTTAGTCGAAGATTCAATGTCAATAGTGTCTATTGTTGAATAATAGAAAACAATATTATTGATACAGTCAAATAATGAGAATTACTTTATTATTTTGCAACAAATCGCTCAAATATTTTGCACTCTCCTCTCCAATTTTGTTCGCGCTCAGATTTAAAGAAACGATCGTCTAAACAGAATAATTGACATGATTATTTCGAAAATGATTAGACTTTTCTAAGTACCATGTTATTTCTCAGAGCATCGACTAGAAATCGTAATTCATCATCACCAATAGATCTATCGGCGACATTCGCTTCTGTACAAACCTATAAGGAATAGAACTGACAATAATACAAATGGTATTGAATAATTATTAAATACTTGATCCTCGGAAGCTGTTAGAAAGATTTCAACAAGTGTACATAAACTACTTTTGTTACCACGAAGACTCAATGATTCGAATTTCTGAAAATGCAATTTTATAATATATAAATATATATATAATAGCTGATTACTATAGGACAATGGCCTTCCTGTTTTGAAAAGTGTTGTATATATAGTGTGCTCCTTTGCTTCCAATTTTGTTGTATTCCAGATTGAGCCAGGTCAGTATCTAGAGAAAACTGTAAATTAAAAACATGGATAAAGGATTAATGCTTACTGTATTGTTACGAAGTGCATCACATAAGCATTCTACTCCTTGGTCGTCTATCATATTGCTTCTGAGACTCAGCGAAGTCAATGTCTGCAAAGAATAACTATCATAGATATGTGAACAGTACTGATAATCAATAAAAATCACCTGATTATTTATCAGAGCTGTGGCTAGTACTTGTATACTTTGAGAATCGATTTTGCTATCATCTAGACCTAGGTAATTATTTGTCTGAAACACCATTGAATAAAAGAATAAAATCGAAACTCATTCTTATACTTTGTTGTTTCGTAATTGGATAGTGGCTCCTAAAACAGCAGCATAAGCACTTGTATTTTTGCTTAGATTGATTTCCAACATTGTCTACGAAGAAAAATAATAGTATACTGAAATTGAATGGAAAACTGCCGTATCGTTGAATAATGAAAATAAAAAAATAAAATATTAACCGTATTATTTTGTAAAACATCAGCCAAATATTTTGCACCTGTATCACTAATGTAATTTGATCCAAGAAACAGTTTCTTGATTGTCTAAAACAAAGAAAGAACCAAATATTAATATACACGTCCGAAACATCCAAAGACAATAACCGTGTTCGTTCGAAGTAGATCTGCTAGATATTGTGCTCCGGTATCGCCAATTTCGTTATGAGTAAGATCGATATCAGTAACCGTCTTTAGTAAAGAAATGAATAGTAATTTCAACGAACTTGATATCTACCGTGTTATGTTTCAAACTATGACTGAGATACTGTAAATCTATATCTTGAATGCGTCTGTTGAAAAGATTTATCTTACTAGAGGCCTATAAGAAAGTAGTGATTGTTAATTAGAAACAAGTAGGCTATTACCTCGTCACTTCGAATCTCACAGACAGTTTCAATAGCTGCACATTGATTATTGGAAAGATAAATCTTTTTCAAAGTCTATAATCAATCAGATGCAATGAATTTGAAACTGAACATATGAATGAATGCTACATACTGTATTATCTTTTAGTGCATCAGCGATGCAATGGCCTCCCTGCAGCCCAATTTTATTTGAACGAATGCTTAGCATTCTAAGTGTCTGTTAAAGAAAGACGCGTAAGAACAGTTAGTAGATACGAGGAAAGCTTTCTACTCTATTAATTTTTATCATCTCGGAGAGATATTGTGCACCTTGATCAGTGATTTGATTATTGTCAAGACTTAATGATATGATTCTCTATGTAAGTTATAACAGTAAGTAGTGATATCACAATAGTAAAAATAAAAGGGAAAATAAACCTTTTGAGTTTTCAAAATATTTGTAAGACACTGCACACCTTGGTCACCGATTTGATTGCTATTGAAATTGAGCGATGTTATACTTGCATGGTTTCTCAGAGCATTTATAAAATATTGCAAAATGTGATGATTGATTTGGTTATTCGTAAGGTCAAGTGCCGAGATGCACTAAATATAATAATCAAATTGAATACATCAGCAGCGAATTTATATGAAATATACCGTATTTTTGTTTATAGCATCTCCCAGTTGTGGTGCTTCTTTTTCTTCAATTTTATTATCATGAATTGTCAATTTAGTCATTGTCTATCAGATAACATCTTAATTATAAATCTAAGTTCAATGAATATCAATTAAAGTTTACTGTATTAGACCGTATGCGAACAAGACATTCTAAGATGTCACAACTATCGGATTTATTCCCAGTCATGCCCAATTTTTTCAGTGCCTATCAGTGAATCCTTATACAAATTGAACATAGAATACAAAAATAGAAGCTACTGTATTGTTCATTAAAGCATCACTAAGATATTGTGCACCGGTGCTTTCAATTTCATTTCGATCAAGATTAATCACAGTTAGTGTCTATATCAGAGTCAATTGGATCGATATCAAAAGCCCAAAAAAGAATCATATCTACAGTATTCGTTTGGAGTAAACTAGCAATATACTTTGCACCTTCGCCAGCAATCTGATTATAAGAAAGATACAATTCACGAATTACCTACGTAAAAAATACAAATTTGCCAAAGTAAAAAAGGCGAATATTTTACCGGCATATTATGCAGCACAGAAACTAAATGTTGTACGCCAATAGGACCGATGCAATTTCTCTGAAGCTTAAGTACGGTTAGCATCTGGGCAAGAGAAAAATAAACAGTGGCGATTGAGAAATTCAGAACTAGCTTACCTTGCTATTTGTCACTGCTTGAGCAATACATCGTGCGCTATTATCTCCTAATTGATTATCATCAAGATTAAGTAGTGTGAGCGACTATATAAATGAATACAACTAATCATGTAAGTCATTATAGAAAGAGAATTACTTTTTCTAGGACAAGTGCTTTAGCTAAATACTGAAATTTTTGTATTCCAACACATTTTGACTGAAGCATCACATTGAGTTCAGACTATGAGAAAAATGTTTAAAATCGATATAAAGTTAATAGAAAATATTGTAGATCAATTATTCTTACTGGCTGCATCATAATACTGGCTGATGTTGTCACGTATTTAGGTGCTGGGTTATTAGAGAAGTCGATTTGTACAATAGGCTGCATGAAAAAGGATCGAGATATTAAGAAAACTCAGCAGAAACGATATCAAACCGTATGAGTTCCTAATACATCAATGAACGATTCCACAACTGTTTTTTTAATTTTATTATTTGCACGCTTCAGTTCCATTAGTACCTATATATGACGAAAAGATTGTATGTAAATTATACATACATAGAAGAAGAATTACTGTATTAAGTCGTAATGCATTAGCAATCGCTTGACCTCCTTGAGTTTTAATTTGATTTGATTGAAGGCTTAGTATTTTAATAGTCTACAAGCAAAGAAATGATGCGAATGGTGGCGACATAGAATAAATCCGTTGTCACTTTATTCGTTTTTAGCAAATCTGCAATATATTCTGCACCTTTGTTAGTGATTTGATTATAGTCAAGATACAATGACTCAATTTTCTACATAATATAGATGTAACAATGACAAAAAGAATATGTACATACTTTATCGTTTCTCAAAGCATCCACAAAATATTTTAAACCTTGATCTAGGATCTCGCTATGATTAAGATTCAATGACGTGACTTTCTAAATAATGAAGAGAAAACTTATATTAGAAAATTAAGACAAATCAGAAAAATATACTTCATTGTTGATCAAAGCGTCAGCGAGATATTTTGCATCTTCTTCTTTTATATGACGCGATTGAAGATCGATGGAAGAAATCATCTAAATCGAAAATCGTACGTCACAATAATAAGAATCAATTAAAGGTACTTTGTCATTCTTGATTAATGTGATTATATCTAATGTATTTGCTTGACTACATGGATTATCAATAAGATTGAATTCGATTAATGTCTATTAAGATCGGTAGGATAAAAACAATAGAGTTGGAAGAATGAAAGTACCTGATTTTTTTCTAAGACATTAAGTAAACATTTACCACCTTCCTCGCCTATTTGATTGTGCTGAAGATTCAATGTAGTTAACGTCTATATGATCAAATTCTGAAAAAATGCAAAATATCGTCGGAGAATTTAAGATTACCTCATTAGCTTCTAAACCAGCGGCAATATATGCAGCGCCATTGTCTCCTACGTTATTTGATTGTAAATCAAGCGTAGTCAATGTCTAGTGTATTCAATTGCTTAGAGACGGATACTACATAAAACTTACTGTGTTAAATTGCAATGCATTCGCGATAAATTCTACTCCTAGGTCAGCTATATGATTTCCAGCCATGCTCATATTGACGATGCTCTATATAAATAAATTTAAAAAAATCACAACATCAGGAGAAAAATCACTTTGTTGGTTTTTAATGCATCTGCAATATATTCACAACCATTGTGTCCAATGCAATTTCTGTCAATATTTAATATGATGAGTGTCTATAAATGAAAATTCATAACTTAATACTAATTTTAGTTCACAATTACTGCATTCGTTTTGAGCACAGCTGCTAAATTTTTTGCACCTATTTCCTTTATATTATTCTTTTGGAGATACAAATTAGCAAGTGCCTATAGAAATGAATGAAAAATGATTTCTAATACAAACAGATGAATTCTGAAAACCGTTGAATTTTGTAATAAATCGGCTATATTTTGTGCACCTTCATCCCCTATTTCATTTTCAACAAGACTTAACGTTTCAAGTGTCTAGAAACCTGTTAAGTATAAATAGACGGAGCAGAAAAATGGGGATTACCGTATTGTATCTTAGCCCAACAGCTAAAGCTTGTGATCCTAAAACTCTAATTTGATTATCACGAAGAACGAGCTTAGTAGCTTTCTATGAAAAAAATAATAAATCAGGAATAAAATCGCACTGTAAGATACTTTGCTTGTTTGTATTGCATGACTGAGATATTTTGCTTCATTGTCATCAATGCAAATTGATGAAAACTCCAGTTTTGTAAGCATCTGTATCAAAAGAACAAAGTTTTGTTTTTCACAACGAAGCTATGAATACCTGTGTTTCACTGATATCAAATATTCCATCTGTCCAGCTCAATATTGGTAAATAACTCACATCCATAGGAGAGCTTACCCATCGAATTGCGGAGAAGGGGGAAGAAGAGTTAATAAATGGGGTCTACGAAAATTGGTCGAATGAAAATTGGTCGAACGAAAATTAGTCGCCGATAATTGGTCGATACGAAAATTGGTCGATACGAAAATTGGTCGAAAATTTTGTAATAGAAGAACAAAAGCTTTTTCTTTAAAAAGCAGCCAGAACTTTGTAGTGTAAAGCTGAAACTAGCACTAACTACAATATCATGTTAATATTAGAGGAAAATAGTGATTCGGACAAATAAATTAGGCATGCATAATAAAGGAAAAGTAGTTTAGAACTTTAGAAGAAGACCTTATAATTATTTTAGTAACGTTACCTGTTTTGAGAACACGGTGAACACCTCAGCCGCACCTACACCCTCATCCTCACCCACACCATCACCCTCAAGATACACTTCGGACTTAGAGTTTTCCTTTAAAAGCTTTTGTTTTTCTATTACAAAATTTTCGACCAATTTTCGTATCGACCAATTATCGGCGATCAATTTTCGTTCGACCAATTTTCGTTCGACCAATTTTCGCTCTCCCTAATAAATGATCGAGATAAATCGTCACTTTTGCTGATACACATAGGCGTTGTATAAAGATTAATTATTTTTCGTTGAATGTAATAATCACAGGTAATGAACCAAAGTTTTTCATTTAACCAAAATGGTGTTCGAAATGAGTCGATCAGAGAATTAATATTAACTATTATATCATTGTTTTTGAAATTGTAGGAAAAGAAAAATTCAAAATTCTGCCAAAGATGAAATATTAACTTTAATAAACTGTTCCCATGAAAAACCATTGTATGCTGAATCAAATTTTTCCGGATGAGAGCACAATTTAAGATGCGAAAGTGAAGGAGTTTGTGCTAGAAGAAATTCAATATCATTCATCGATAGATTACAATCACTAATTGTTAGAGATAATAATTGCGGATAAGATGTAAAGATCATTTGATTACGGTCTTGAATAATACAATCTCGTATTACTAAAGTCTTTAGATATCGTAAATCACCAAGAACGGTTTGATATTCTGAGTAATCACAACTACCGAATGAAAGATAAGTTAAATTACAAATATTTGGCCAAGATATATTTTTAGCCAAATGATTGAAATTTTTCACAATTAACTTGCGAAGTTTGAATTGAACAACTGTTGAATTAACAAAAGCTGCTACTTTATTATTTCGCCATGTGTCCCATATGTCTACGGATAATGAACTAAGTGGGCAACTAGCAAATGCTTGTAAAACATGATCAAGATCATTACATTTGACTTGATTCAACATCAATGAACGAAGTCGGCAAAAAGCACGGTTATCAAAAAGCGAAAGAAAGAAGTCGAAAATTTTTGTCTCGAACGACTTGTTAGATAAAATCAGTTTGATGACATTTTCGGGCCGAATGATATTCGCAATCAATTTAATGTTATCTTGTGGAATTGAGGAAAGATCAAGTTCATATCGATCATAAGTATTAGTAATTGTATGCAATCGTTTACAGACACGACTAAATAAAATCCACGTTGAATAAATATCGAGATGATCCAAAATACGATAGACAATCTCGGCTGGTAAAGTAACAAGCGACATATTTCGATTTTGACATGCTGTTTTGTTTAACAGCTTGCATATATATACCCACCTGAGCTTCTTATCATGAAAACAGAAGGTAAATAGATGTAGAGGAGATGCAGCATTTGTTACGAATGATAAACCATTTCGTGATAAAGAAAGATTACATATTTCTTTTGTATGAGGGAGTTATTTTATATTCATAAAACAATAGCCAGACTGTTACAACGATCAGATAAATCATGAGTAGAAATGACTGTCGTCTCTAGTAAGATACATTTATGATAAAAAAATTTATAAGCATTGCAAAGTATACATCTGCCCAGCCCAGGTCATTATCGATCAGTCGGATCTTGTCGGACGGGTTATAATTCCGATTATTCTCTTTGTTTTCTGTGAAATCTGGTGTGGGTGTGCGTGTGCGTACGAAACAACGAGAACATTTACACCGACACCCACACCTAGTAATATTTCTCAACACGTACGTATAACAATTGAGGAATGTTTTTTTCATGGTTCATGGAAGTTTTATTAATTTTATTTAGCGTCAAATATACTCAAACAAATACTAGAGACAGTTAGAAAAACAAAAAAATTGAAGAGAACAATACATCTAGGTAATATGTGTCAGAAAGTGTAACAGAAAGGAAATCTTCTAAAACTTTAACTAGAAGGTTGAAACAACCGAGTTCATTTCTGAAGATTTTGCAATCTCAGATGTGTTTATCAGTTCTATCATCCACCTCTACCCTCGTACAGAAAAGGAGCTTTTCTTTTTAATGAATAATTTCTTCATAATGCATTAATTGAGTAAGAAAACCAAAATTTGGCTTGATTATACTTCTTTTTTCTTTAACAAATGAATATGCTTGATCCCAGGATTTGAAATTATATTTCATTAAATATCCAATAACAAATGATGCACTACGACTAATTCCAGCTTGACAATGAATAAGAATATTTTGATTGAATAATAACTTTTGATGTATCAATAGAAAATTTTTTTCAAAATATTGAAGAATATTTTCTTGACATTTATTATTACAAGGTATTCGAATATAATCAAATAATTGTTCATTTTCATCATAACATGGTATTGATGTTACATTAATTATAATTTTTATTTCATTTTGTTTTAATAAATTAATATTTTTTGCATCATATTCATTGTCGAGATAAAGACCAGATAAAATTTGAGATATTGGATAATATTCAACATCCGTAGTTGTTGAAGAACATGATGAAATGGAATAGCAATATGTTGGATATTGTTGATAAAATTCTTCGAATGATGATTGAAGAATATAAATGATTTTCGTTGAATCATAACGTTTTATTTCATTGAATATATAGTTAATAATATAGGAAATTTATGGTTTAGCTGTTGAATTGTAGCATAACGATAATGATAAATGAATTGAATCATCATATAGAATAATAATTTTCGATTGATTTAAACGATTTAATTGATTTTTATTAAGAAAATTTTTGAAACCACGATTTATTAAACATTTTCGAGATAATTTATCATTAATATTTAATAAAAATGAACTTTTAATATGTCGATCATCATATCGTAATGGTAAACCCAAGGGGGAAACATCGTACTTTGACTCCTCAAAGTACAAAAGTACATCAAAGTATCCCGAAGTACTTGGAAGTACCTCGAAGTATTTTAAAGTACTTTAAAGTACCACGAAGTAATAATTGAAAAAATCTACTAGATGACTAATAGACATATATGATGATCAAGTTGAAATTTTATTTGAGGTTCAACGATTCAGTCTTTATAAGACCATTTTCGAGAACAATAATGATGTTGATANCGAAGTACTTGGAAGTACCTCGAAGTATTTTAAAGTACTTTAAAGTACCACGAAGTAATAATTGAAAAAATCTATTAGATGATTAATAGACATATATGATGATCAAGTTGAAATTTTATTTGAGGTTCAACGATTCAGTCTTTATAAGACCATTTTCGAGAACAATAATGATGTTGATAATTTTATTTGAATGTCTAGTATGATCGAATTTTGATAATAAATAAATACATAAATACATAAAATAGACAAAATAGAAATAATTCGATCATGCTAGACATTCAAATAAAATTATCAACATCATTATTGTTCTCGAAAATGGTCTTATAAAGACTGAATCGTTGAACCTCAAATAAAATTTCAACTTGATCATCATATATGTCTATTAGTCATCTAGTAGATTTTTTCAATTATTTCAATTTTGTCTATTTTATGTATTTATTTATTACCACGAAGTACTTCAAAGTACTTCAAAGTATTTCAAAGTACTTCAAAGTACCTCGAAGTACTTAAAGTACAAAAGTACGATGTTTTCCCCTTGGGTAAACCACAATCAATAATTAATAATTGTTCATTTTTATCATCAATTTCAGGTGTCATATGAGCGATTAACTGAGAAGGCGTAATGAATTTTGAAGAACTGTATTGTACTTCTTGGTCAATTTCATTTTGCTGATTAATTACACAGTATTATACACAGAACAGCATAGTTTTTTTATTGTTGAGAGTGAAGAGACGATATATAATTGTATATGCATGATAGACTATTTATATAGATATCAATCAGACGGCATTGACGAATAGATAAAGCAAAATCATTGTTATTCTTTTGAAAGAAACGAAGAGAAGAAAATCTATTGGCCAAAAGAAAAAAAAACTCTAGAGTATGAAACAATAGATGATGTCTAATTTAACCGAAAAGAAAAATCTCGAATAATTTCGAGAAAAGAAGAGGCTGTGCGTATAATCTCTATCAAGACTAACAGGTCCCTAACAAGGGCGAAGGATTAACTTTGTCTAAAATTTCTGAAGTACACCGAGAGGCTACAAGATTAGTAGGTTCGTGAATTTCTTGCATAAATTACCACGGACTTCTAAAATGCAAATTTCCTTAAATATTATCAGCAGAAACTTCTGTAAAAGTAGGTGAACCCACGAAGAAATGTTTACATTCATCAAGAGAATTTAAACAAATTTTCTGATCAATGATGAGGTTTTTTAATTTAATAGCCTATTCTTCATGTCTGCCTGAGGGTGTGGGTGTGGGTTTGGGTGTCGGTCTAAATGTCCCCATTAGGGGTGGACCATTTTTTTTAACGGAACTTAATTAATGACTTCCATTAGCCATTAATCTTAATGGTTAATGTTTTCTAAGAAAAACTTAATTCATTAATATTAATGATTAATGAAAAACATTAACATTAATTTTAAAATTAATGCTTTCATTAATCATTAATATTAATGTTAATGTTTTCATGAAAACATTAATTTTTCCATATTACTGAATTAGGCTATTCTAAGCAAACATTATCTACAATTATTAATCAATTAACTGATCTTAATAGCTAATGTTTTCTCCGAAAGTGTTAATTACTTAATATGGAAAGTTATAATGCTTTCATGAAAACATTAACCATTAATATTANATCATCTTCGTCATCTCTCAAACGGTCCATAGACCACGTTGATATGCCAAAGGAGAATATTTCACCAAATAAAAAAATCAATTTTACGCCAACAATGTTTCAATCAAAAATTATTAATATGTTCAAAGATGCAAATTTAACTATTCCTATCAATCTTCTCGGCAAATAAATTCATCAACGAACGGACTTCAGGTAACCAAGTTGCCTTTTTTGTATATGTATACATATTGCAAAAAAAGTTTTCATCTCATCACAAGTAACCTAGAATAACGATGTCTTCATGCTCTCATTCATAAGTTGATTTTATCTCACTTCAATCCAAGTATTTTCATTATTTTTGACTATATTTGTGAAATGCAATTTGGCACGACGATTCGTGCATTCTGCAATGTAGTCGAACAGAGGATCAGGCAACATTTTTTGATAAAAATCAGATGGTACAGGATGTGTTGGAATAGTGAAAGTGGGTCCTGATTGTTCATTGAAATTAGGTAAACATTTCGGTCTCTAATCGGTCTCTTTTTCAACAAATATCCATTGCTCTGGAGACATTTTTTTGTACACATAGAATCTGTTGCTATAATTTTTGATGGATAAATATTCTCATCATCACTGTAGAATAATGTTAGGAAATAATATATTTAGCCTAGTAATTTTTATCACCTGTATTCTTCACTTTCTTCTATTCTCGATAGTATGAACTCTTTCTTATGGCCCGTGATATTTGAGTTTATACTGTTCGATGGTTGCGGTGCTGTACTCGGCTGATATATTGCATCATCATCACTATAATTTAGTATATGTCGTGATTTATTTGAATGAGAACATCTAATTTATAACCTGTATTCTTCACTTTCTGTATAATTGCACAAATTCAAGTGATTTTCTACATCATCAACATCAGAGTCGTCGAGAGCTTTCACACAATCATCTACTTCGTCATCTTGTTCGCCAATATGTCCATCGTAATATCACATTTTGAATGCTTTATAGAAGCCGATGTGCTTCTTGTTGATTTTATGAATTAACGAAGTTTTATTTGAGAAACTAGCCTTTTTATGTTGGATACATTCATCACATGTGGTCTTTTTTTTTATATAAAACATGGAGTTCTTTTTATTATACTTAGCGACATTGACGTTGACACTAGTTTCAAACACAGATGATCGTGATGACAGAACGCAAGAGAGAGAGATTAAAATTTCTTTTTTCTTGCTCGTGCAGAACGCAAGAAAACTACGGGATTGAAAGGGTTAATATTAATGTCAATGTCCTTAAATGATATTAACGGTTAACGGAAACATTCACTATTAGTATGAATAGTAATGTTTTCGTTATTATTAGGGATTATACTTTCATTAATCATTAATATTAATGGTTAATGTTTTCATGAAAGCATTATAACTTTCCATATTAAGTAATTAACACTTTTGGAGAAAACATTAGCTATTAAGATCAGTTAATTGATTAATAATTGTAGATAATGTTTCCTTAGAAAAGCCTAATTCAGTAATATGGAAAAATTAATGTTTTCATGAAAACATTAACATTAAT